GAAGGGAAGGCGGGAGGGAGGGAGGGAGGGAGGAAAGGAGGGGGAAGAGAGGGAGGGAGGAAAGGAGGGGGAAGAGAGGGAGGGAGGCAGGAAAGGAGGGGGAAGAGAGGGAGGGAGGAAAGGAGGGGGAAGAGAGGGAGGGAGGCAGGAAAGGAGGGGGAAGAGAGGGAGGGAGGGAGGGAGGGAGGAAGAAAAGAGAAGAAAAGGAGGGAGGAAGGAAGGAGAGAAGAAAGGGAGGGAGGGAGGGAGGGAGGAAGTTAACGTGTATCTTTCCAGTTGGTTCTACACCTCACGACGATCTCACAGATTTATAATGTGAACTACTTAATGCTCTATACTCTAACTTAAATCACATCTTGTACATGTCTGCATGTTTCTAAAACTGTCTTAACAATTTATTTTCGTTGTAATATACTTCCCTAATTACAGTCAAGAATTCTCATCTGATTCTGGTAAGGAAGGTAATAAACTCACCAACTGTATCATAGCCTCTATACAAAAATTTAAAACAAAAAAACTGAGGGGCCAGTGAGATGGTTCAGCAGGTGGAGGTACTTGGCCACCAAGCCTCATGACCTCATCTGGATCCTAGACCCCACAAGGCGGATAAAAAGAACTGACTCTCAAGTCTTGCTATCTGGCCTCCATAGGCATCATGTGCACACATATACACACATAAACATGCACACACAGACACACACACACACACACACACACACATTCTCTCTCTAAAGAATTAAGTAAATAAATAAATAAATAAATAAATATTTACAAATGAGGATCGTGACTTGTTTAAACACATAAATTTGTATAAACATGCATTTCAGGCACACATGCGTAATTTTCACATATGCGATCTCAAAGTTGCCACTGGAGGGCAGCAAAGCTAAGTGGAAGAAACCCGTTTCCGGCTCTCCTCAGCAGGCTCTCTTCAGCAGGCCCCCTTCCGGAGGGTTGTTCCCTGTGCCCCAGAAAGAAGTGAGGTCTAGGGTGGTGGCTCTCATTGCCTGGTCACTCACAGCACATGATGACTGAAATACACAACTCCAGGTCACGACCAGTTGTGAGGGATCAGAGCTGGTAGCACAAAACCCAGCATTGTAAGGATCGAACCCACAGAACCCTCAAGTCTGCGAACTGCTGAGCTCTGGGGCTCTAACCTGTTTCCTAGTAACCGGAAGGTGTCCCCGAGTTTTCTTGAACACAAAAATAGGCCTTGCCAAATAGATTAACATGGTGGGAGACGTCAAATATAACAAGGTGTTTGGAATTCCGCGTGAAAAACTGCTGTGGAATTACTGACGGCTTTACCAAGATTTTCTCTTACTAACATTCTAATATTATGGTTCCAATTTTTTTATTTAAGAAAATGATCTGAAACTTAAACGAGGAAAAAAAAATAGAAATAAGAAGGCTAGGTACAGTAACACGTGCTTGAAATCCCAGCCCTCAGGTGGCTAAGGCAGGAGAATTGCACGCTGGGGGCCAGCCAGGGATGCGTAACCAGACTTTACTCCAAAACGAAAATAAACTGAGAGAGAACGGGATGGAGGCAGCCGTCTATATTTGCTAATTTAACCAGAAACAAGTCTAGGAGCTCAGTAAATAACAAACATTTGTACAGGGCTCCTCCTTGCTGCCGATGCCGGAATCGGCTGAAGGCTTCCGTTTTACATCCATCCATTTATTCATTCATGGAGAACTGGGTCGCTCATGTGCCACGGAACATAAGCAGAGTCAGGGGACCACTTTCAGGAGCCAGTTCTCTCCCGCCACCATGTGGGTTCTGGGGGTCAGATTTGGGTTGTCAGCCTGGCCCCTGCCCTAGCCACTGGTTTTTGCCTCTTCAATTTATGAAAAAATTCTTCCATTGAGCTACATCTCGTGTGCGTGTGCGTGTGCGTGTGCGTGTGCGCGTGCGCGTGCGCGTGTGCATGTGCGTGTGTGTGTGTGTATTGAGACAAGGTCTTATTCAGGATGACTCTGAACTGTGACCCTCCTGTTTCAGCAGTACCTTGGTGGAGTCTGGCAGAGCCTTTACTCCTGTGGAGGTCCTTGTACTATGATTGCATGGCCTGTGCTTCAGCCACTTGTCAGCACTGCTGGCCTCACCCCAGGCCCCTGAGTATATCTGCACTTAAGATTCATCCCTAGACAGTGCTCAACACAGATGCTAAAGATTCTCCAACCACCCATCCCTACCACTCATTTCAATTGGCCATGGCTGTTCTGATTGTGTTTCAACACATCCATGTTTTCTCTACACTGCTTTTTGTAATGCCTCCCCATGCTCCTCCCCTCCAGGACTGAAGACATCATCTGCCAGGGTTGAAGTGCTTAATAACATGTTCTCAAAATCCAGGCAAACTGGTGAAACTGAGGCCAAGGATCCAGTGACCTCATCTCATGGTACCTTCTGGATGTCAGCCTGGAAGCCCTGGAGGCGGCTGCACTTGAGCATCTGGTGGAGAAGAACTTGGGCTAGGGTGGCATCCAGCAGCTCCAGACTGTCATAGAAACAAACCAACAGCCCCAACCTGTGTGGGAAGATGAAGGAGGCTGGTGAGGTTGCTCAGAGCCGAGAGCCCCACAACCCTCCCCTGCAATCCAGACATGAAAGTCATGTCAGCACAGTGGCCAGTACCCACCTGCTCCATCCTGCACACCTACCTGGGTCTTCAGCTCTCAGCAAACAAAATCGTTTTCATTAGAAAGCAGTTCATAATATGGATTGAGTGTGGAACGTCACCCCTGGGCTCAAGTGTTTGAATACCTGATTCCCCAGCTGGTGGCAACCATGGCTGCAGGACATGGCTCCCTAGGAGCAGACATTTGAGGAGTACACCCTGGTCTTCTAGGAGCAGACATTTGAGGAGTACACCTTGGTCTTGCTTCTGGTCTTGTTTTCAGTTTCCTGGTTGGTCAAGATGTAGCCCTATAGCCTCATGCCCCTACCACCATGCTTTCCTCTGAAACCACGCATCAAGTGCTTCAAAGTAAAACTCTCCTTGAAGTTGCTTCTGTCATGTGTTTTATCACAGCAACAAGAAAAATAACTAATGTAGCCCTATTTCACAGACAGGTAGACTGAGACCCAGAGAGGTCAGAGGATTTGTCCAAAAGCAAGTGATGGAACTGGAACTTAAATGTAAACCCATTCAAGCAAGCCACCTCATCCCCCAGGAGGAGGAAGGCAGGGAAAGGAGGATACCAAAATCCTCTCTCATTTCCACGTGGAAATGCAGGCACGTCCACCTTGAATGAAAGCTCTATTTCCAGGATTCCTTGCCACCTACCCACCAAGACAGTCTTAAGACTTCAGAAGAAAAAAATATGGCAGAATAATGAGGGAGCAGAGGAATTCAAACTCTGTCAAGCTAAAAGCAATATATCAGAGCCAATATATGGTTGAGAGCATAGACTGAGGCCAACTGGAGTCTGAAGGCTGGTTCTGAGATATTTGCCTCTGGTGACTTACTCGACTCCTCTTTGAGTGCAGTGCATGCTGTGGGCTACAGTTCAAGGTGAACCTGTCTCTCTCAACTGTTAGTAACTAGGTTCCCTTTACTCATCGTGGTGCTTCATGGGAAATATGACGATGAAGGAGTGAGAGTGACTGAGAGTAAAGTAAGGACAGGTAGACACACAGATGAGTCTTCCCGGTGGATACTAAGCACTCACTAGTGAATGTCCTCAGGGATCATATGAAGACTATCTGGCTCAACATGGCCAGGCCAGCTGTTTGCCTGAAAGCAGCCTGGTTCAATCCTCTCAGAACCAATACTGACATATTCAGACATGGACACAGGATATCATTAAGCTATAAAAAGAGTAGGATGGTAGTTACCAAGGATTCAGGGGAAGGATGTCAACAGATATAAAATTTCAGTTAGGTAAGAAGGGTAAGTTCTGAAGGCCATGGTGACTAGTTAACAACAGAGCTCAGAGTATATTACGCATTCTCCAGGCATACAAACACACATATGCATACAAGGTAATGGGCATGTTAGTTACTCAGTTTAGCCATTCTACAATCTAGACATATGGGATTTTTTTTATTCATGGAGAGGGGCATGTGTGTGCGTGGGTTGCACACACTTCTGTGTGATGTGAGTGCCACGGAATGAAAAGGTAGGAGCACAACCTCAAGGGCTAGCCCTCACCCGCTACCCTGTTAAGGACAGACTCTCTCTTCTTGTTCACAGATGCATATGCCAGACTCGCTGGCTCACAAGCTTCTGAGGATTCTCCTGTCTTCACCTCCCCGATCTCTCCATAGAAGAGCTAGTGTTAGACACTCAGACTCTATGTCCAGCTTCTATGTGGGTGCTGGGATTTGAACACAGGTCTTCACCCTTGCATAGCTAGTGTCTTTACCTACTGAGCCATCTCTCCAACCTTGTAGTTTCAGTCTTGAATGTCTTTCAGAGGGTCACATGTTGCTGGTCCTCTACACAGCAGTATTCAGAGATGGAATCTTTGGGGAGAAGATTAAACCACAGGGACTTGAATCCCCTCTGCATGTCAGCCCGTGGTGACAGCTTCGAGGGTGTGGGAGGTAGAGAAGACATTAGGAGACAGGGCCCTGCTAGTAGTGGGTAACTGAGAGGAACATACTTTGTCATGATAGTCATTCTCCACCTCACCTCTCTGCTTCCGTGGAGCCATGAGGAGAGCAGCTTTGCTCTGTCACTTGCTGCCACTGCAATGTGTCAGTGTGTCACCCCCACCAAACCCAAAAGCTACAGGGTCAAGCAATCATGGACTGAAACCTCCATGAGACGGTATGAACCTTTGCTGCATTCAGTTTGTTCTCTCAAGTATTTTGTCACAGGGACAAAAGTTAACTAACACCATATACTATACACCATAAATAAACACAGCTTTATTTGCAAAAAAAAAAAAAAAAAAGAAAGAAAATCCCATTTATTGAGCACATACTGTGTGTCAGAGAAGAGTCCTTCAAAGGACCTCATGAGGCAGCATGATTCTTGTCTCCCATTTTACATATGGGTAAAGTAAGGCACAGGAAGGTGATACGACATGGCCAAGCTCACAACTTACAAGTGGCAGAGCTGGGATTAAACCCAAGAAGCTTTCTCTGACTCCATGTCCTTAATTAACAGGTTCTTTTTATTACCTGATATATAATTTATCTAATTGGCAAGTGTATGGAATAGTAAGGCAGAATCCTTGCTGCTGAGTGAAATTTATTATGGATGGGAAAGACTGTGACATCGTTCCAAATGAACACACACTCTAGGCGGATCCATCTGAAAGATTCTAAGGTGAGATAAGATGTGAAGGCCAATAATCTGAGAGGACAGACAGGAGACGGTATGCTGGTTAGGGTTTTTCCCAACTTGACACAAGCTTGGGGCCATCGCAGAATAGGAAACCTCAGTTGAGAAATGCCTCCATCAGACTGGCCTGTGGCTTCATGTAGGAGGATCCAACCTACTATGAGATGTACCAACCCTGGGAAGATGGTCCTGGTTTCCATAAGAAAGCAGGCTGAGCAAGTCACGAGGAGCAAGCCAGTAAGCAGCACCCCCCCATGTCTCTGCATCAGCTCCTGCCTCCAGGTTCCTGCCTTGAGTCCCTGCCCTAGCTTCCTTCAATGATGCTCTACAACCTATAAGTTGTAATAAACCCCCAACTTACTCTTGATCAAAATATGTTATCAAAACATCAAAAATCAAGCTAGAACAGATGGTCTTACCACCTCCTCCCCTGCTTGACCCACTCCTTCCCTCCAGGCTAAGTATCCTTGACTAGAAATAGCTGGAGATGAGGATGCTGGTGCCAGAACTAAACTCTAGAGCTGACCTCTAGAATGTCAGGGGCTCCCCTGCTGACAGCTTAATAACAAGAGATTTCCTCTCAAACAGAGGAACCCACTCCCCCAGCTGCCTCCAACACTTGTCCCAACCTAATGGAAATGCCATGTTTCCCCTTGCAATGGCACCCTGGGTAGTGAGGATTGCCTAGCTCCAGCTCAGGGCTGGAGGAAGCACTAGGGTGACAGAAAATGCCTGAGCTCCAGGAGACACTCAAAGATTTGTCCCCTTTTCCTTTCTGAATATTTTTCATAGAGTGACAAGCCCTTTGGGAGCAAATCCCTCTCCTCAAATGCATAGAGAAGTATGGGGCTCTTCTCAAGGAATACTTAGACTGCATTTGCACGTATGGTTGCACGCATGTGTGCATGTGCATGAGCATGTGTGTAAGTATGCATCCACATGTGAGTGTATCCATATGAAGGCCAGATGACATCAGACATCTTCCTCAATTGCCCTTCACCTTATTTTTTGGAGACAGGTCTCTTGATGAATGGGGAGTTCATCTGTTGCCTAGTCTGGCTGGCTTGCCAGCTCCCAGGATCCTCCTACTGTCTTTATCTGGTATTCTCCCTCTGTGATGGGATTACAGGCACATGCTGACACACCTAGCTTCTTACCTGGGTGCTGGGGATTCTAACTCATCCTCATGCTGACTTGCTGAGCACTTTACTAGCTGAGCCATTTCCCTGGCCCTTAGACCAAATACTGGAAGGGCCCGGGGCCGCTCTTGCCTGTGGATAGTAGAGATGTTCTTCATGTCAAAGCTGGAGCATCGGATCCTCTCCAGAAATGCCTGGGCCAGGTCAGGGGTGACATCATACACCGTGTCCAGCTGCTTGGTGGCGTTGTCATAGCTGATAAACAGCCCAATCTGGTAGACAGAGATGGGAACACAGGTGAGATTGATGAAGGGGGTCAAGTGACCCAGTGGGGTCCCATCCTGGTGGCCCATGCTGAAGTGGCCCAGTGGGGTCCCATCCTGGTGGCCCATGCTGAAGTGGCCCAGTGGGGTCCCATCCTGGTGGCCTGTGCTGTGCTCATCTCAGCCATATGGTTATACTACCAGTTCTCAGATTACTTTCCTTCTCTCCTTTTATTATTATTTTTAATGTTCAGTGTATATACTCATTGTATATGCCACACAAAGATATTTATATGAGTAATATTGTATGTCGAGCATATTCTCCCCATAGCTCCTTCCCCACGTCTTTCTCATCTCTCTTCTTCTTGTTAGCCTCATTTGTTCCCCTAAACATTTCACTCCTACTTCTGTCTTACACACACACACACACACACACACACACTTTTATATATCTGTATAAGATCTGTGAACCATGCACAAGTGAGAGAAAACATATATCTTTCTGAGTCTGATTTAATTAGCTTGATATGATTATCCCCGGGTGTATTTACTTCCTGAAAACAATATAACTTCATTCTCTGTAATCAAAAACGATAAATATATATGAATATATAGATACACACACATATACATATACATATATATATATACACATTGATAAAGATATAAAAAGGTCCACTGTGCGCACAGACCATGTTTTCCTCATCCACTCCTTTCCTCTTGGGCATCTAGTTGCTTCTATCGCTTAGCCGTTGTAGAGTTACTGGAGTGAGCACTGATGGGCAAGTGCTTCTGTAAGGTTGACTTTGAAGCTTTCATATAAATACCCAGTAGTAGTGTATCTGCATCATATGGGAGATCCGGTCTGGGGGTTGTTTGTTTGTTTGTTTGGTTGTTTTTGAAACAGAGTCTCACTCTGTAGACCAGGCCGGTCCCACACTCACATAGCTTCACCTGCCTTTGCTTCCTGTGGTGGTTTTAATAAGCTTGGCCCATAGAGAGTGGCACCAAGAGAAGGTGTGGCCTTGTTGGCTCATTGTGGTTTTACTTCCTATTTCTAATGGACTTATCATTCTATATGGTGGTGCACTCTAATTCTGTATTCCAAAAAGTGCTCAATGGACTGGGGAAGTAGGTCAGTAGCCAAAGTCCAACCATGAGGGAAAGGGTTCAGATCCCCAGAAGTCACATAAAGAGTCACACAGGAGTGGCAGTCCCTGTATTCCAGTACTATGGAGGTAGAGACAAGATATCCATGAGCCTAGCTGGCTAGCTATACTAGCCAGAATGGATGGGCTCTGGGCTCTGCTAGAGATCCTGCCCAAATAAACAAAGGGGGAGCAGGGGCTGAAGAGAACAGTCAGTAGTTGAGGGCCCTCGTTGCTCTCCCAGAGGATCCAGGTTTAATTCTCAGCACCCACATAGGTGCTCACAGCCATCTGGAACTTCACTTCCAGGGGATTCTACGCTCTCTTCTGGCCTCCATGAGCTCCAGGCATTGCAAGTGGTACATAGCCATACATGCAGGCAAAACATCCATACACATAAAAATAACAAAGTAATAATTTAAAATAAATAAGTGGAGAGCAATTGAGGAAGACTTCTGGCATTGACCATGGGCCTACACACACGATTGCACACATATTCAAATATAGTTTCACACATGTGCATACACACACATACCCCATACAGGAAAGAAGGTGATCATAAAATCCTCCCTTAAGGATTATACCCTTTGACCATATCTAAAATCACCCCCTCCATATTTGTAGAAGTTGCCCATGGATGTCTGATCTTAGAAATGCCCTGATTTCTAAAGACTGAAAGGTTGTATGTAGGAGGAGCTAAGGTGGGAGGAGTAAGGAAAGGAAAAGGAAAAGGAAGAGCTAAGGAGAGAGATGTGGGAGTGATAGAAGTGGATGTTCACGTGCCTGTAGCAGTCAAAGGTAGTTGGTATATCTAGGTTGGGTATTGGGTTACACTTCTGATTGTATGGGCATCTTGTTACTGATCATTACCAAATATATAAGCTTTTAGATAATTTAATCAATAGAGTCTCATTTTCCTACTGGGCCCATGTGGATGGTGGGATGGTCTGGGCAATGCCCAGCCTTACAGAGACAGCGTGGGAGATTAAGCTATCTCCCACACTGACATCTCGTGGGTGGCAGGGCTGGTGTTTCTGGCTGACCATCTCTTGCTGTGGCGCACACGTGGCCTCTGGCCAAGAAACATGGCAGCTGAGTGAGGCAGAGCCACCGCAGCTTAGATAGTCAGCTTGACCAGTGGCCGATTTTAAATATTTACCTCAACAGTTGTAAAACAGCAAAGACATGTGAGGCACACCTAGCCTCCTAGGTAAAAGAGAGGAACCGTGGCTGGCCAGATGGCTTAGCAGGTAAAGGTGCTTATCGTGCAAGCTTCAGTTCAATCTCTTGAACCCATCTTGGAAGAGAAAACGTCAACTCCTGAAAGCTGTCCTCTGGCCCTCAGACAGGCACCATGGCAATATGCATAATCACGTATACACAGCGTACACACACGATACAAGCCAAGTCTTGCTTTGGGTTTTAAAACAATCACACATTGTTGGGAGGACAGCTCTCTGAAGGAGGCTGTCATGTGATGATGGCCAAGGACAAGACACAGGAGCTGTTTGCTTCTGTTTTTGTTGTAATAGAGCCCAGCTCCTTAGGAACATCTGATGGAGCGTTCTTCAGAGGCTACATTTCAAAGTCACAATCCCCAAAGGATCTTAAAGTCATTGAGTCAACATCAGAAGGAAAGAGACAAATCAACGGGTGAGTTCAGCAACGTGAGCCACACACATTTCTTCTCCACTGTGAACTCCAAGCTCAGATCCAATCATTGCTCATGTTGAAGTAGCTATTAATAGAAGTCACTATTTATAGAAGCAGTCATTAATCCATGCTACTTTGGCTTGAGGGCAGTCACTGGAAACTCGATAGCTATTGTCCTTAGCTGTTCTAGAGCATACACACGCACACAAAAATTCCCTCACATGAGTCTTAGGTCATAGCTAGTGTTCCTTTCATATCATGCTGGCCATGTCAACACCCTCAGTGGATCACAATCCTTCTTCTTCTTCTTTTTTAGTGTTTTTTTGTTTTTTTCTTTTTTTTTTTTTTTCGAGACAGGGTTTCTCTGTGTAGTCCTGGTTGTCCTGGAACTCACTCTGTAGACCAGGCTGGCCTCAAACACAGAAATCTGCCTGCCTCTGCCTCCCAAGTGCTGGGATTAAAAGTGTGTGCCACCACCACCCGGCTATCTTCTTATCTCTTCTGTGCTGGAATGCAACCCCACCACTGACTCCTTGAGACTTTGTTCCAAGAGTTTTGTCTAAAAGGTAAAGACATATCTGGCTAAGGTATATGGTTCCCAGGACACGTTGGCTTAACAAACACTGTAAATCTAGAGCATACATCACTCAAGGTATGTTAGCAATAAGAACATAAAAGTATACTTTTCTAACTTACTTCTGTAGGACTAATGTTCATAATTTCTTCCAATGGTAGGTGAGCCATGTATCTGCCCAAAACCCATAACTTTTCTGCACTGACCCATGAAACGGAGCCATCTACAAAGAGAGAGAGAGAAATCGAGAATAAGTAAATACACAAATAACAGCTTCTCAGTGTGGGGGAGGTGCAGATGGTGAAGGGCTTGACATACAGGCATGGGCACCTGAGCTTGGTGCCTCAGAGCCCACATTAAAATAAGAAAAACAAACAAACAAAAATAAATAAATAAATAAATCCTATCTTTAATACTTGTATAATCCCAGCACTGGGGAGGTAGAAATGGATGGATTTCCAGGTCTTGCTGACCAGACAGCCTAGCCAAATTAGTGTGCTCCAGGTTCAATGAAAGATTTTGCTTCAAAAAATAATCTGGAAGAGTGTAGAGCTAGCTCAACAATTAAGAGCCCTAAATGCTCCTGTAGAGAGTCCAAATTCAATTCCTAACGCCTGTGTTGGGCCCCCCACAACCATCTAGAACTCTAGCTCCAGGGGATCTGACACTTCTGGTCTCCACAGGAATGCACATGTGTGTACCTGTGCTCACGTGTCCAAGCACACAGATACACACACACACACACATTTAAATAAACAAATAGAGTGGGAAGTGATTGAGGGAGCCTCCCAGCACTGACTTTGGTCTCCACACACATACACATGCATTTGCAGCATATGGTAGGTAGTGGTCCGAGGCATCTTTGATGTCAGGACTCCGTGTTATTCCTTAATTCATTCAACCACCATCGATTGAGTCTCACCTGTGAGACCCTCAGGAGACACCCAGACCACAGCCACAGACAGCCACCATCTGAGACTTGCTACTTGACTGTGTGGTCTGCAGACCAACATCACCATTACCTGGAACTTGTTAGGCACCCGGCCGGGCAGTGGTGGCACACGCCTTTAATCCTAGCACTTGGGAGGCAGAGGCAGGTGGATTTCTGAGTTTGAGGCCAGCCTGGTCTACAGAGTGAGTTCCAGGACAGCCAAGGCTACACAGAGAGACCCTGTCTCGAAAAAAAAAAAAGAGAGACCCAAAAGCATAGTGATTTGCTTTGAGTCCAATTCTTTAGTCAATCTGACAGTGTGAAGTATGTTTGCCTCTCTTATTACTACTTCTTTTAATCCAGTTAGTAATCATGACTAGCAGGTTGTCATCCTTAGTCCCACAATGTACTATATTTGAATGAAATCAAGCTTACCTGCATGGACCTCAAGTTCCTGGAATCTCTGCTTGCCTGGAATGTCTTTCCTTAATTTTTATACTACCTTCAAAACTGGGTTCAAATTTTCTTCTTCCTGAAGCCTTTTGGTGTGTGTGTGTGTGTGTGTGTGTGTGTGTGTGTGTGTTTAAGCCAAAGGGCAACTTGCTATTTCTCAAGTGCTATACAACTTCTTCTTTTTTTAATTTTTGTTTTGTGGGTTGTTTGCTTATTTGCGTTTTGAAATAATCTCTCACTACCTTAGCACTCACTTAATGGACTAGGATCCTCGGGAATGTCTCTCCATACATCTGTAACTCAGCACTCCAGTCGTAAGAGTAAGGATGTAGGCGGATCCTTTGCATCCTCATTGGCCAAAGTGCTCATTGGCCAGCTAGTGTAGCCAATCAGTGAGCTCCAGGCTTAGAGAGAGACCCTGTCTTACAATAATAAAGTGGAAAGTAGTTGAGGACCCTATCTGACGTCTACAACCTCTAGCCATCACACCCTTACACACGCACCCACATCACACGCACACTTTTAAATTGAAGTGTGTAGATGTCACTGTTGACATCTGGAATGGCTATTGAAGGGAAGTGTAGCTGCAAGGGCCACCACATTCACCGAGATCCAAGCTTGAACTGGCCTTTCCCCAACCAATTACAAAGCAGGAGCTGCAGTTCTACAGAACCATGGTCCCCAAGCATGCAGTATTTTAATAGTCAAAGTTCAACCCATTAACTCTGGGGAGTTCATGGACTAAAAGAATATAGGGCCCAGCCGGGCAGTGGTGGTGCACGCCTTTAATCCCAGCACTTGGGAGGCAGAGGCAGGTGGATTTCTGAGTTCGAGGCCAGCCTGGTCTACAGAGTGAGTTCCAGGACAGCCAGGGCTACACAGAGAAACCCTGTCTCAAAAAACCAAAAAAACAAAAAACAAACAAAAAAAAAGAATATAGGGTCCAAACAGAATGAACTTGAATTCACTATGTTAATAATGGAACTTGCCACACATAGGGATACTAGAAGGAAAACTGGTTCCTAACTAAACTGAGTAGCCTCCTCAGGGTTCTGTGGTATGAGGCTCAGCCTATGGGAAGCCATGACTGGAGCCAGGCTGGGGGAATTCACCCATGTGTTTAAGACTATGATTATGTGTTATTTAAAGTTGCTCCCACAGGAGTCTCAGAGATTGATTCTGGGAAGGGACAGTCTGTGCTCCCTCTCTGTTGGCTTTCTCTGTGTCCTCCCAATATGCAGTTCATTTTCACCCCAAATCGTTTGAATGTGTCTGCTGTCCCTCACCATCAAATGTCTCCCCTTCCCAAGCCTCACAGGATAGGGTCAATCCCTTCATCTTAGACTCAATCCAGATGGCATCCTTTGGAGAAGTCGTCCCTGATTTCTTAGTTTAGAGATTGGCCAACCCTAGCCCATGAGATGGCCCAGGCCACTCAGTTTTTATATAATCTGAAAACCAAGAACAGTTTTTACACAATTGAAAAGAAATTAAAAAGCACAAATGCTTGGTAAACCATGAATATTATATTAGTTCAAATACCAATGTCCATACAGACTTTACTGGGAAGCAAGGCCCCTCGTTCATCCATCATCCGTGCCTGCTTTCAAGATTCAGTGTCCGACTACAGGTTTAGTAAGCTAAAATATTTACTTGTCTTTGGCATGGGTATGCACACATGATATATGTGTGTGTATGAGTGTTCTTATGTGTGTGGATACATGTATGTATGCATGCACATGTGGAGGTTAGAGACTGGATGTATCTCACTTTAAAGCACAAATTTTACATAGATTTTGAACATTTTACACATAGAGAACCTACTGTCATCAAATGTAAGCTGTGACCACAGAATGAGGTCATGCAATAGCTACTTGTGAGACAGACACATCCTCATTTTGGAAACATGAGCATTGGAGGATGAGGCTGATGCCATGGGACGTGGTTCTGGGACTGTGGCAGAGGGGATGGAGTGAAACTCATAAAAGCAATGAAAGCAAACCAGACTGGAGGGTGGAGTTCCCTTAGACATTACTTCAACCAACCTCTGCCCCTGGCAGGCAGGTCTCACCAGTGACGTTGAAGGGTGTCCTCAGGATCCCCGTCATCCATGAGTAGACAGCTCTCTGGGTGTGAGCTGAAGTCTGGTCATAGAGGTCTTTGAACACCGCAGATCTAAGACACATGGACACGGGTGTCCATTAACAATACACAGGTGGACGCCCACCCTGAAGGGGCCGTGAGGGCACTGTGCCCAGGGCTGCCATGCTGAAACCCCCCACATGCCTTTGCTATATTGACTGTTTTCCAAAGAGTATCCTGTGGGTCCTGCCTCTGCTCCCTCAGCTCTTAGTTCCTTTTGTGTGTGTAATAGCTTTTTTGAGACATAGCTTACATGCCCTATAATGAACATATTTAACGTATATAATTCACCAGTGCTGCCAAAAACAGAATCAGGAGAGTCCGTTCAAGATCAGCCTTGAACCCAGCAACTTTGAGGCTAGCCTGGGCTGCATAAGACCATACCCTAAGAAAATAAAGTCATGAGACTTTCAAGAAAATGAATGAAACTAGAAAGGATTGTCCTATGTGAAGTAACTCAAGATCCAAACATGGCATGCACAGAGCTTAGATATGTATTGTGTGAGACAGTGTGTGTGGTGGACTCCCTTGGCTGTCAACTTGATTACATCTGGAATTCACTAAAACACCCCATCATCAACATTTCCAGCAGCTACAAAGGAACCCATCCCCTTAGCTGCCATCCCTCAGCCCCTGGCTCTCCAGCTCCTGGAAACCACCAATCCACTTCTCTCTGTGGATCTGCCTGTTCTGGACACTACACATAAATGAGACCAGGCCATTCATTTATGTGTCCTGCTTCTTGTACTCGTGTGACATTTTCAAGGCTGACATATGGAGCAAGCACCAGGGCTTCATTCCTTCTTATGAATAAACAATATCCCATTATATGGGTAGACTGCATTTTAGTTGTCTGGTCATCAGCCAATGGACATTTAGATTGTGTTCAGCTTTTGTCTTTTTTCTTTGTTTGTTGCAATGTGCATGCTCTACAGGTGAGCTGCATGCCCCCTCCTCCTGTTTAGCCTCTTAAGGAATTACCAACTGTCTCCGCAGCAGCTGCCCCACGGTGTGATCCCAACATCACCACAGCCCATCTGTGATTTCCCTAATTGTTATCAGCACCTGTCAATCTCTGGTGCCTTGACAAATAACCTCCTGCTGGTGGGAAGAGGTCTTGTCATTTTCTAAGCCGCTGCAGTCCGACTGGCCACTGCTGTACCACCGCTCCTGACACTGTTGTGTCCTTCTTTCCAACCCAGAGGTCCTAGTTGGCACAAGGAGGACTCGCCATGTCATTGCCTCTGACACTGCTCAACCCTCCTGCTTTTTGTTTCAGTTTTTATTTTATTATGTATGTGACTGCTTAATTGTATGTGCATCACATGTGTGCAGTGGCAGCAGAGGCCAGAAGAGGGCTTCAGATCCCCTGGAACTGGAGTCATGGGTGACTGTGAGCCACTGGGTGCAGAGACTAGGAACCAAACTCTCTCCTGCAAGAGCACCAAGTGCTCTTAACCACTGGGCCCTATCTCCAGACCCTTGTTTTGTTTTTTAAGAGCAAGGATAGTTGAAAAGCAGGGAAAATTGGGAGCCATGGACACACAGAGACATGCACACACAAACACACACACACACACACAGAGAGAGAGAGAGAGAGAGAGAGAGAGAGAGAGAGAGAGAGAGAGAAAGAGAGAGAGAGGTAAACATCATTTAAGAGAGAGCTTTCCCACCGAAAAATGCTGTTTCCCATTCGCCATGGAATGCTACTACCCTAGGGGGTGTCTGTTAGTCTCCTCACCCATAAAGACAAGAAAAGGGGTGCTAGATAGGTAGAGTAAGAAGGGAGAGAAAACCTGGGGCAACACAGCTCAAGGTCAGGAGACAGAGCCTGCAAGACTGGAATTAGTGCCCCTGTCTAAGAGACTCCAGAGAGCTCTCGAAACCCTTCTGCCTTGAGAGAACATGCCAAGAAGATACTCCAATGACTCAGAAAGGAGAAAGATACAAACCTGCCATGCCTTGACCTTGGAAGTCCCAGCCACCAGAGATAAGTGTCTTTTGTCCAAGTTACCCAGCCTACAGCTAACCAAGATGCTGCTCAGGAGAGCAATGTAATTAGTGAGGATATAGCAGCACTGGTTTCCAGTGTGTTTTAAGATTATTTTTTTTACTTAAAACAAAAATGCTGATTTTCCATTTATGGAAATGAAGCTAACTTTTCTTTAATTTTTTTTCTTTTCCGTGTATTTATGTGTGTTGCACATGTCTGTTTGCATGTGTGTGGGTGCACATGTGTGCTCATGCCTACGGAAGCTGATGCTGATGTCGGGAATCTTCGTTGCTTGCTTTTCCATTTTATTCATTGAGGTGGAGTCTCTCAGTCAGGCCCAGAACCTGCTGATCAGGCTAGGCTCCCTAGCTTGTTTGTTCTGGCGATGCCATGGCTTTGCCTTCCCAGGCTGGAATTACAGGCAAGCTGACACATCCACCTGCCATTTACATGGGCTCTGGCAATCCAAACTCTGGTCCCCGTGTTTGCACAGCACATGCTTTACCACCGAGCCATTCCCCAGACTTAAGTGGAAAGGGCAAAGAATAGTAAAGAAAAATCACAAAACAGACCACAGGGCAGGTAGTGAATAGATGTGTTGAAAACTAGGAGAAGAGTTTCCAGATGACTACAATTGAGAGAAGACTGTTTTAATCAAAGCATCTCTCAGCTCTGCTTCAGAAGAAGTATGTCTACCTGTGCCACCATCTTCCTCCTTACTGGATACCAATCTCCCTGGATCCTCACAGCAGCCCCTGAGCAGCCTACAGAATTGAGCATTTGAAGGGAAAGACTCACAGGTTCTTAAAGGCATCCTCATGCAGGTCCTGGGGTAGCCTGTCTGTGATGTCTGGCTGCAGGAAGCTGCCGGAGGACCCTCTGAGCATCCTGCCCAGGACCTCCACACACTCCAAGGCATTCAGCACCTGGAAACAGCGTTCCAGCGTGATGAGAAACAGGCTGCGGTTCACACCAGGGCTCTGAAGGGCCTCGTCCCGAATGTCTCCCAAGTTGATGACGATGTCCTCCAGGTCCTGAAGGAATGAGAGAAGTTAGAGTCTCTGTAGCTGTGTGGCCAAAGTACACGAGAAGACAGCTTGAAGAAAGAAGTGTTTATCCAGTGTCCTGGTTTCAGGGGGATTGGTTCATGGTTTAATGATTGTTCAAGCAGAACATGACAGGGGTGGGAACTTGTAGAGGGAGTTGTTCACAGCATTGTTGACAGGAAACAGGGAAATGGAGTAACCATTCATAATCTTCAAAACCTGCCCCCAAGACCCACTATCTTCAACTGGGCCCCATCTCCTAAAATTTCCACCACATCTCCCAAAACAGACCCATCGGCTGGGGACCATGAGTTTATGGGGCACATTACATATTCAAACTATCAGTCACATGACAGCTGCCCCTTAACTCAACAGCACTGAAAGCACAAAGAAATGCAGGGTCAGAGTTTCCTACCATGCTGCTAGTGGAAATTTCTAGAAATTTCCATCACCTTAGGCTTAAAGGCAAGGCTTTCACCTGCTTTCCCTATACTAGGCTGTTTCCCATCCCCTGGGTGAGCATCATGACACCTTCACTTCGTTAGCATAGAGATAACTTGTGTTCACTCCAGGGGTGGCCATAGGCACCGGGCTCTGCAGCCAGTGCAGGATCTTTGTCACTACAGAGGTCATGGGCATTTGCACTACAGTGACTGCAGACATCTTGGGGTCTTTCCAGTCAACACTTGTTGAGAGTTCCAGAAGTCACTAGACCTGCTGCTGAGTTCTACTAGTGGATATGTTAAAGAAACACAGTTTATCTCTGTGTTTGTACTGGGCCTTTCTGTAAGTGCTCTTCAAGAGAACTGACTTCCTTTATGGCCTGTGATTTGTTTTACAGGTTTTTAAAAACATCACCCTGAGACAGGTCCTTGGCTTCTCCAGGTAGGAACCCATTTTCAACCCTCAGATTCAGTGTTTCTAAGCTGTGTCACTGGAGGTTCTTATGTTCTGCAGGACTCTGTTTCCTCACGTGATTATTAAAATGCAAACTTATTTCTTATTTGTTTATTTTGTTTGCAGGTGCTGCACATGGAATTCAAAAAGTTGTGTACCTAGGCCAGCACTTAACCCTTCAGTGTGTGTGTGTGTGTGTGTGTGTTTGAGAGAATAGGGGAGAGAAGAGAGAGGGGAAGAGAGAGAGAGAGAGAGAGAGAGAGAGAGAGAGAGAGAGAGAGAGAGAGAGAGAATGAACTTCTGTAGTCCAACCCTAACTGAAACTTTCTATGTAGCCCAGAATGATGTCAAAATCTCTTCCTGCCTCAGCCTCCTGAGTTCTGGGATTGCAGGCATGAGCCAGCAAGCCTGGCTTTAAATGGTAACATTCTTCTTAAACTTGTTTAAGAATGCTGTGGAGAAGATTAAATTAGTCCATGAATAATAAAGCCTTAAAACGATGACAAACAAGCAATTTGGCCCACCACTGGTTTTGTGAATAAAATTTTATTGGCATATGCCCATACCTAATATCAGGATTAATTAATTGCGACTGGGATGTGTGTGGCCTACAAACCTTACATTTTTACTCACTTGTCCCTTGCTGGCCGTTCCCTTAAAAAAATATATCTCATATGTAGAAAAGCCTCAATAAACATCATAATGTATTTTATAAGATTTTTAACTGAATCTTTTTTAAAACATAAAGTTCATTTCTAAATGAAATCTATTCATGCTGAACTAGTGGCTATTATTTTTTAATAACTAATATTAAAGTAAGACAGATTAAGAGTTAGGGACATAGTTTGCCTAGCACTCCTGAGGTCCTAGGTTTGATACTTAGCACTACCAAAATAATTAAATAAAAAGTAAGTATATAACCATTAAAATGTTTAAGTCCTTCCAAAACCTGTGTGGATTAAAACTAATAAGAATCTTAACTTTAGTCATAGATAATGAAAATTTTGAATACCAATAAACTCATTCTTCCTATTAAAAAAAAGAAGAAGAATCTTAGCATTTCAGAGCTGGAGAGGTGGCATAGTAGTGAAGAATGTGTGCTGCTTTTGCTGAAGACCTGAGTTCAATTCCCAAGACCCATGTAGGATCATTCTTTAGAAGAGGAGGAGGAGGAAGAAGAGGAGGAGGAAGAGGAAGAAGAAGAGGAGGAGGAAGAGGAGGAGAAGGAGAAGAAGGAGAATGAGGAGGAAGAGGAGGAGGAAGAGGAAGAGAAGAAGGAGAAGGAGGAGGAGGAAGAGGAGGAAGAGGAGGAGAAGAAGGAAAATGAGGAGGAGGAGAAGGAGAAGGAGAATCTTTCCATCCTGAGTCCACATGAGGAAGCCAAGGCTTAGCAAGGGTTCTCAACTCCACTTTGGAACAGTGATTCGTATGCAGCTCTCTAAAATAAATGGACACTAGCCCTCAGCTTTGGAGCCTCAGGGCATTCTGGGGCTTGGGATCTTGCTCTCTGTGCTGTGTGCATGTCACTAAACTTGTTTTGTGGTCATTGTCAGCTGTTGCTTGCCTTCATCCTGAGCCATATCACAGCCGAACCCCCCCCCCCCAGCTCTGAAATGTTAAGATTCTTATTAGTTTTAATTCACACGGGTCTGGGGGAGAATTTAAACATTTTAATGATTACATGCTTATTTTTTATTTAATTATTTTGGTAGTGTTAGATATCAAACTTGAGCCTCAGGAGTGCTGGGTAACCTTAAGGACAGAGACAGTTCTTTCTCTCTCTACACCCATTGCACACAGCAGTCGCCCTCAGACACCAACTCAATGGTTAGAAGACCCTTAGTACCCACAAGAGTAGAAACAATGTAACATGGAGAAAATGAAGGAAAAGAGCTAGGTCTTAGAATCCCAAGCTGGGGTGGTGATAGAGAAAGGAGAAAGGAGTTAAAAACCGCCCAGCAAAGGTCAACTGCTCTGCTACTCCTCATGGGGGGGTTGCCAGGCGTGCCTTACCAGGTGGCCCCTCTTGTCTTCCAGAAGGCATTTCATGGCTGTGTGGAACTGCTGGGCATCAGTGGCCCTCAGGTCCTCCAGCAGCTTCTGTGGCTGGTACAGATACTGTTCCAGGTGGGTTTCCATGACTGCCTGGGCATGGGAGATTCAGTCATTGAGGACAGAAGATTGAGGAGTGTGTCAGCACCAAGGCCAGCAGCCCAGTGGGTTCCCCTTGATGCCCAGCAGAGCCTGCCAGCTATCAGGCAGCATGTATATGGGGGTCTTAGTGGGTGCTAATGCTGTAAAGCGGGAAGATTCCTTACAAAATCCAGATTTTCAAGTCCACTTAGGAAATGCAAAGAACGGAAAATGCCGGGCATGCTTTTTCCCCCTCCGGTGGTCAGCCTGATTTCATAATTCTGTGGCCTGCCCGGCCCTTGTCCTAGGTGGCCAGCCTCTGCAAGGAAGCTGAGTATCTCTGGTTTTCTATCACTTAAACCCTAGTGCTGAGCACAGGAGAAAACCCAGGCAGAATGAGTCAACTTGTCTTCAGTGTTCCGTTGGGCTGCCAGCCTCTCCTGCAAACCTCCTCTGCCATTTTGGACTTGTTTTCTTTTTGATTTTGTTGCTGCTGTTGTTCAGCTTTAGGGAGGGCAATCTCACTATGTAGTCCAGGCTGGCCCTAAGTCCATACTCCTCTTGTCTCAACTTCCCAGGTGCTGGGGTTACAGCTGTATGCCCAGCCTCAGTTTCTTAAATATCCCTTACACAAATATACTCTGGGAGAGCAGTGTGAAATAATGCCTGTGGGCAAACACTGCATATAAAAGACAGATGACATGTATGCAAATCTTCAGGTCTACACTTACCTGAGCTTCCATTTAATTAGAGATCGTATATTTAAGTGTTGTGCTTTGTCTTTTGAGGCCCTGGGTTTCATGTATCCCAGGCTGCTTCCAAAATCACTGTGCAGCCAAGATGATTTTGAACTTGGGATTCTTCTGCCTTTACCTCCCTAGTGCTGAGATCATGGGTGTGTACCATGCCCATTTCCTGCTGATCTGGGGGTCAATCTCAGAGCTTTATCAACGCTAGGCAAGCACACTACCAACGGAGCTACACCTCTAGCCCCTTAACATCCTATATTTGTATTTGCTATGTTGGCGCTCCTACCTTCTGGGCCTCGGAATTCACATCTGGAAACAGGGCCCACGAGAGAGGGCCACCATGTGGGGTACTGTGAGGATTAAATGTCTCTGGCTTTCTCGACAGTTCCTAGCGCAGAAGTCCTCAGTAGAGCCAGCCATGTTTCTCTACTCCTGATAAGTTCTTATTTACTTGATGTCTGTCTCTACCTCAGAACGGTGGGAGTAATGTCTAGTTCCCCACCTCATTCTCAGTGTCTACAACTGTGCCAACCTGTCAAGACTGGAGAGATGCTGGATGAAGATATGCATGTAGCAGCAATACACCTACCAACGTGGGAAACCTGACTGTCAGAGAGAAGGGGTTGTTCCGTACTGCTAAGTACATTGCTAGGAGAGATGAGAAGAGATACGACGTGGGTCCCACAGAGCCTCCAGCTGGGAGGTGAGCAAGCAGTGATCAAGCGGGCCTCTGGGTGCAGGTCTGGTGTGAATGTCTGTTAATACCTCTGTTTTTATTAAAATGAGAAATAACAAAGGTGCTGTTGATTTACCTATTAGCCCACGATGTGACTTCTTTTCTAAACAGCAATGGTGTTCGAGCTCTGATATAACACACCCTGGGTCACTCATACTGTTCTTGAGGTATCGTCCTGAGCTACCAGCCATACCCAAACACCCCAGTCATCAACCCCTCACTCCGTGCCCTTCTGATGCTCTAGCCAAATGTCCATCGCTGTCACCAACAAGCACGGGCACGTTGGGTGTGGTTTATCTCCCAAGGCTCATTCAACAGGAGTTCAGTTCCCAGGGAGGTGACATTAAGAGGTGATGCCACCTTTAAGAAGTGGAACCTAGTGGGAGGTGATAGGGACGCTGCCCTTGGAAGGAAGTGAGGTAGGTCCCATGAGACACTGGTTAGTTCTTAGGAGAATAATAAAGTGAACTTGACCATGAACCCCGCCCCAGACTCCTGTGTCCCCATGTGACCCTTCCCTCTCACAGGTGTACCCACCGTTATAGTGGCATCTATCAAGGCTATATACCAGCTGCGTCTTTGCAGGAGCCAGCATTATGCTGAGGGATTGTTAGCCTGTAAGCTAAGAACTATATTAAAATCCTTCTTTTTAAAAGAGATTGATTTTATTTGTGTGTGTGTGTATATGTGTCTGTGTGAGCATATGTGTGCATGTGTGTAGAGATGCCTGCAGAGGCCAGAAGAGGACATCGGATCCTTGGATTTGGAATTGCAGGTATTTGTGAATCACCAATCTGGGTGTGGGGATCTGAACTCTTGTTCTCATGTCTGAGCAGCAAGTGCTCTTAACTATTGACCCATCCTTTCATCCCAAAACTCTTTCCTGTCTTGTGGATTTTATTATAGTAATAGAAAAGTGTCTAATATACTCCTGATGTTCTTTTTATCAGTAAAGTCCCTCTAGTTTCCACTCAGTGCACAACTGATGTGCACTAATGTGACCAATAGCAGAATGGAGTAACGTGTCTCACACACACACCTGTAGGCTGGGAATAGTGAAGGCCACATTCCGTGAGTTCACATAGGCAAGGACTCTGTGGGACAGGTCTGCAGTCCAGACATGGGAGCTTCAAGCAAAGACAGATGGGAGAAAGGTCAATGTCCAGGTCCTCTGCAAACATTCTTGTACTGGCTGTGTGCCCTGGGGCTCAGAAAGATGGGGAATAGGCCAGGATGCTAGGGAACTTTAGGTTGAGAAGTAAGAGGCACCTTCACCTGGCTACATGGGGGGAGGTGTGTTCATGAGTATGTGTACAGGTGTGTGTGTGTGTGTGTGTGTGTAGATGTGTGTGTATACGCACGTGCATGTATATACAGGTGGGGAGTATGTGTGTATACAGGGGTGTGTGTAGATGCATGTGTGTGTATACAGGTGGAGGTATGTGTGTATACTGGAGTGTGTGTGAACAAGGGTATGTATGTGTATACAGATATGTATACGTGTATGCAGGTGTATATGTGTGTATATGGGTATACAGGTGTGTGTGTATGTATATAGGTGTATATATATATGTGTGTGTATGTATATATATACATATATGTGTGTGTATACAGATGTGTATGTATGTATTGTATACAGGTATATATTGTGTGTATAGACATGTGTGTGTATGCATGTAAATGTTTGAAGACAACTTCAAGTATCACTGAGACATGGTCTCTCATTGGCCAAGAGTTCGCTGATTCAGCTAGACTGGCTAGCCAGCAAATCTTTAGAATTTCAGGTCTGTACTGTCACAGCACTGGAATTACAATCATGTGCCACCATGTCCAAAACTTTTATGCAGGTTCTGGGGGTCAAACTCAAGTTCTCATGCTTGTGAGACAAGCTCTTTACTGACTGAGCCATCTCCCCACCCCTATAAAGAGCTTTGTTGTTGCTATTGTTGTTCTTGTTCTTGTTTTGTTTTTCAAGACAGGGTTTCTTTGCACAGCCTAGGTTGTTCTGGAACTCACTCTGTAGACCAGGCTGGCCTCAAACTCAGAGATCTGCCTGCCTATGCCTCCTGAGTGCTGGGATTAAAGGCACGCGCCACCACTCCCTGGCACAAACAGCTTTTTTTTTTTTTTTTTTGAGACAGGGTTTCTCTGTATAGCCTGGGCTGTCCTGGAACTCACTCTGTAGACCAGGCTGGCCTTGAACTCAGAAATCCGCCTGCCTCTGCCTCCCAAGTGCTGGGATTAAAGGCGTGCGCCACCACCGCCCGGCCCACAAACAGCTTTTTTATAACCTCTTTTTGGTTGTAGATAAACAGATGGATGGATGGGTGTATGATAAGTAAATAAATAAAATTGTAGCCTGAGAAAATGTATCTAAACCCTCCCATCGGGGTTCTCTTGAGGGAGGGATGCTTTCAGGGCCCTTTCATCTTGATGTGATTGGTTGTCTCTACACGGTACCAGAGGCCCCCATTTTCTCTTCTTTATAGAATGCATATTAAGATTTAATGTTGACAATTTTCTTTCTGCCACAATGCCACAGCACCCCATCTCTCCATTCCCTCACACAGGCCTGAGCAGCACAGAGCAGGACAGTGGTGGCCGCTGGCCCTGGGGCCAAGTGGGAGGGTCACAATCCAGCTCTGCCACGCCCCAGCTGTGTGGCCTCCACTCACTTTCCCCAAGCCTCAACTTCATTATTCCACTCAAGAAGATGATAAGCAGCCCCGGCCTGAGGGCTGTAGTAAACACGGATGTGTTTCTCTACCCCAGCACTGGGAATAAGGTCGCCTCCTCAGAAGCCCTTCAGGCACCTTGGTCTTAAGCTCCGCCACTGGAGGGTTAGTGTTCCAGGAGCAAGTGTGTCAACTAAATCACTGCACATTGGTTGGTGCTCTTTGCAACAGAACATACTACTTTTCTCGAGTAAGAAGCTCTGTCTAACGGTTATTAGGAAAAACCTCCATCCCTTCCAACCCCCCCAAGGCAGATTACCTTTCAAACAGTGTAAGATCCAGTAACGCTACAGTAGGGACAAAACAGAGAGACAGCTTTAAACGGAATCATTCCACAGACACCACATCTGTATTCTGTTTGACGGTCTCAGAAGGTACACATGGGGACAGCCCGGGGACATTACCATTCAGATAGCTTCCCTCTATTATTTCTTCCTAAAAGGCAGGGAGATAACATCGAGTATAACATGCAAATTTGGCAGCACTGGTGGAGGGGATCTTGATTAAAATAAAACTCTTCCACTCACCGCCATTTTCTGCAACAATGGGTGTAAATCTGCAAGAAAAGTCGTTGGATATGTGACTAGACCCGAACAGTATGACCTTCATAAAGGTGAATGTAGCTGCCACAGGAGCCCAACAAATCCACCTGGGCTTTCCATGAGTTTTAATCATTGCAATAACTATGGTCAGCATGAGAAAACCTTAGTTTACAACCCCCCCACTGAGAACTTACACACCACCACTGGAAGTGTCAGTGTGTCTAGCCACTGTGGAAATCAGGAAAGATGTGTCCAAAAAAACCTAAGTAGAATTACTGTATGATCCACTCCATGACGCACAGAGGCAGCTAAGGCAGCATACACAGCTAAAGCAGCACACACAGAGATATCTGTGCATACATGTTCAATGTGGCAGCATTCACAACATTACCAAGATATAGAACCAGCCTGGAAATCCATCAACATAATACTGATGAAGAAAATGTGGTCTGTACACTCGGTAGAGAATCATTTGACCATAAAGAAGAATGAAATTATGTCATTTGCAGAAAAAATGTTGGAACTGGAGATCATCACATTAATCAACATGGGTCAGACTCAGGAAGACAAGCTCTGCAAGTTTCCTTCATATGTGGGATCTACTGGATTCATGGGGAATGGGGGAAAGAAAGGGTTCTGGGGGTGAATTCTCCTGAAGTATATTGTGTGCATGTATGGAAATGTCAAAATGAGCTTATTTGGACAAATGATGCACATGCATAGAAATTAAAATAAACCATGTATACTATCCCCAAAGGCCTACATATACCCACAGTCAGGTAAATGCTCACCACCCCTCACCAAAATACACCATAACACCAAACTGACATATCCAGCTACATCCCTTAAAATATGTAGAAGCTGTGGAAGTGTTCCTCTCTCTCTCTCTCCCTCTCTCTCTCTCTCTCTCTCTCTCTCTCTCTCTCTCTCTCTCTCTCTCTCTCTCTCTCTCTCTCTCTCTCTCCTCAAGACTTACCATGCCTGGAGCTTGGCTCTCCCTGACATGCACCTCCATGGCTCAGAAAGAGGACCAGGAGAAGAGAGTACATCCTAGGTTCCTGAGAAATCCTCCTGCAGTTAAGTCAAGCACAAAGGTGACTCAGGTTTCATTTTCTTTTACAAATATATTGAAGAATATTCAGGAACAAAAAGGACATGCAGACACCAAAATCCTCAAAAACATTTTAAATAATGCAATGATTCCAGGGTATGTCTTAGACACGTTCACCATTCTCCCAGTGACCTCAGCACCCCATTTCTATGCTTACCACTACCCCTGTTCCACAGCACCCAGAAGAGAAGAGTGTTTCAAAGTACTCACTCCACCATCTCTCACATGAGCTCCAGATGCAGAATGTGAGAAGTCCTACAATCCAGTAAGAAGACAGGTCAAACGGGAAACACATTGAACTTCTTTAAATAGATGTAAAAATGTCCAGTACACACACAGAACGTGACAGTCACTTTCGACAGGGCTCTGCTCAAAACAAGCTCCATTTGTGAGTTTTTAATAAGCAGACAGGACAGATGGCTGTTTTAGTAATTTAAACTCATGTCACCTTCCTTCCTATTATCCCCAGGATAAAATATAACATAAAATAAACCCGTGATGAGACACACACACACACACACACACAGAGTCATTACAAGTCATTACAGTGACTAACAGAGGCAGACTGGAAACACTGAATGTCAGCCCTGTTGTGGTTGGAAAACTGTTTGCAGAGTTTTAAAAGATTACACACTTGGTACTCTATGCTCGAGGAATTTCAGGGGTTGGACATGTGCTTTGTTGGTAGAAGACTTGCCTAGCATGCACAAAGCTCTAAGTTTTATCCCAAGCACTATAAACTTAGCATTGGAGGTACATACCTGTAATCATAGCACTTGGGAAGTAAAGGCTAGAAAATCAGAAATTCAAGGTTATCTCCAGCTACTTAGTAAG